CTATTTACCTCTCTCCGCTTTGAAAACTGCCCATTTATTCCTAGCCTTCCTTTCCTATCTTTTAACGAGTAACTGATCCTTGAGAGCACCTTCCCTCTTACCCCATGGCAGCTTACTTTGCTTAAGAGCCTTTGGTGAGGGACCTTGTCAAAGGCTTTCTGAAAGTCCAAGTACATTATATCCCCTGGATCCCCCTTCTCCATGTTTGTTGACCCCCACAAAGATTCTAATAGATTGGTGAGGCATTTACAAGAGCCGTGTGGACTCTTTACGTTTATCTCTGTGGGATAGTTCTGTTCTTTACTACAGTTTCAGCCAATTTGCCTGGTACTGAAGTTGGGCTTTACCAGCCTGTATTTGCCAGGATCATCTCTGGGGCCTTTTAAAAAAATTAGCATCACATTAGCAATCCACCGATCATCTGGCCCAGAGGCTGATTTACGTGGCAGGTTACATACCACAGGTATTAGTTCTGCAATGTTTATTTGAGCTCCTTCAGAACTCCTGGGTGAATCCCATCTGGCCCTGGTGACTTATTACTGCTTAAGTTACCAATTTGTTCCAAAGTCACCTCTACTGACACCTCAGTCTGGGACAGGTCCTCAGATATGTGTCCGCTAAGAAGAATGGCTCAGGCATGGGAATCTCCCTCACAGCCTCTGCAGTGAAGACGGATCCACATAATCCATTTAACTTCTCTGCAATGGGCCTTGTTTTCCTTGAGTGCTCCTTTAGCACCGCGATCATCCAGTGGTCCCACTGCTTGTTTGGCTTCCTGCTTCTCATGCACCTAAAACAAAGTTTGCTGTTAGTTTTTGTGTCTTTTCCTAGTTGCTCTTCAAATACTTTTTCACCCTAATTATACTTTTACACTTGACATGCCGGAGTTTATGTTCCTTTCTGTTTCCCACAGTGGGATTTGACTTTGAGTTTTTAAAGGATGCCTTTGGCTTCTAACTGCCTCTTTCACTCTGTTGTTTAGCCACTGGGGCATTTTGTTTTTTGTTTTGGTTTATCCTCACACTGTTTGTTTTTTTCAACAGGGGCTACACATTTAGCTTAAGTCTCCGTGAGGGTATTTCTAAAAGGTGGCCATGCAGCTTGCAGGCGTTTCACCCTTGGGATTGTTCTGTTGAATGTCCCTTTAACTCGGGTTTGTGGCATTCCCCTTTTTGAGGTTAAATGCTGCAGTGGCGGGGCTTGTCCTTTGGTGGGGTTGTCCTTTGGTATTTGTCCTCTGCCCCCACCTCACAAGGGTGTTAAATGTCATGCCATTCTGGTTGCTGTTACCGAGCAGTTCAGTTCTGATATCCAGCCCCTTAGGAGCTGTCTGGTCCTTTTCTGGCCCCAGGGGGCTGGGGAGATTAGTTGGGGGGGTGTCCCCGTGTGGTTTCTCCTTTCTGCCCCCAGCTCATCCCAGTCCTTCCCCCATCTTGGAGCCGGTTGCAGGGCCCGGATTTCCTCAGCATCTCTCTCTGGGGCCCTGACCGGGGGGAGGGGAGGGGTGGTCCTTACACAACCCCCCCCCCACTTCCCCACCCCCTGCACCCTGTCACAATGCATCAAGCTGGGAGGCCCGAGGGGAAATTGCCATGCCACAGGGGCCATGTATCCAAGGGGGGCAGGAGAAAGGCTGCCCAGTCCCCTACCCTGGGGGAGGGGGTGAGTAACAGGTTCAACATGGAATCAACTGCCTGCTACCCCCAGGGGGCGCTCTCCACTGGGATTGGCATGGGGCAGGGTATGGGGAGGAGACAGTCAATAAAGCCTGCCCCTTCCACAGTGACCCCCAGTACCTCCCCCCAGCCAGGCGACCCCCTTATCAGGCCTCCTGCACCTCAGTCCGCTGCCCCCAGTCCTGGCCTGGGCACACATGCGGTTGTGTGTTGGCTCCTACAGGGCCCTCAGGTCACATGGGGTGCAGAGCCATTACCCCCATTACAGCCGATGGGAAACTGAGGCACCAAGCAGGGTCTGCCCCGCAGCATCACCCTGCAGGGCAAGGGCAGAGTTGGGAATAGAACCCAGGTGTCCTGATGCCCGGGCACTGGGCAGGGGATCCCTGTATAAACAACCCCCAGACCCACCCCAGAGGTGGCTGCATCCCCATGTTGGGTGAGCGATCCCTGTGTAACATCTGTTGAGTCATCTAGTGTCTCACAATTATGTGAAATTCTCATAATCTGCACCCCCCAGCCCACCCGCATCCCCCAGAATTCCTCCCCCTGTAGAAAACCCTCCACCATCCCCCCACTTAAGCCCTGAGATGTTTGTGTTGCAGATATGCTCCATCTGGGCCCTTAGCCAAGACCCCCTCCTCCCATCTGATGCCAGGAACCAAGTCAATTCGGGGGCGGGGGGGGCTCGCCCCTTGCTGAGAGCGTTGGCGCTTGACCATAAACAGCCTGTCTGGATCTGCAGGGCAGGGGCTCACCAGGGGCACTCACCCCTCGCAGTCAGTGCTGGCCCCCAGCATGACCCTAGGGGGCGCTGTGCTGCAGGGAGCAGGGGGCTCAGTAGGGGGCGCCGTGCTGCAGGGAGCAGGGGGCTCAGTACGGGGTGCCGTGCTGCAGGGAACAGGGTGGGGGCTCAGTAGGGGTCGCTGTGCTGCAGGGGGCGGGGCGGGGTGGGGGCTCAGCAGGGGGTGCTGTGCTGCAGGCGGTGGGGTGGGGGCTCAGCAGGGTGCTGTGCTGCAGGGAGCAGGGTGGGGGCTCAGCAGGGGGCGCCGTGCTGCAGGGAGCAGGGGGCTCAGTACGGGGCGCCGTGCTGCAGGGAACAGGGTGGGGGCTCAGTAGGGGTCGCTGTGCTGCAGGGGGCGGGGCGGGGTGGGGGGCTCAGCAGGGGGTGCTGTTCTGCAGGGGGCGGGGTGGGGGCTCAGCAGGGGGCGCTGTGCTGCAGGGAGCGGGGGTCTCAGTGGGGGGGCCGTGCTGCAGGGAGCGGGGGCTCAGCAGGGGGCGCTGTGCTGCAGGGGGTGGGGTGGGGGCTCAGCAGGGGGCGCTGTGCTGCAGGGGGCGGGGGGCTCAGTGGGGGGGCCGTGCTGCAGGGAGCGGGGGGGGGCTCAGCAGGGGGCGCTGTGCCGCAGGGGGCGGGGGCTCAGTGGGGGGGCCGTGCTGCAGGGGGTGGGGTGGGGGCTCAGCAGGGGGCGCTGTGCTGCAGGGGGTGGGGTGGGGGCTCAGCAGGGGGCGCTGTGCTGCAGGGAGCGGGGGTCTCAGTGGGGGGGCCGTGCTGCAGGGAGCGGGGGGCTCAGCAGGGGGTGCTGTGCTGCAGGGGGTGGGGTGGGGGCTCAGCAGGGTGCTGTACTGCAGGGAGCGGGGAGCTCAGCAGGGGGCGCTGTGCTGCAGGGGGCGGGGGGCTCAGTGGGGGGGCCGTGCTGCAGGGAGCGGGGGGGCTCAGCAGGGGACGCTGTGCTGCAGGGGGCGGGGGTGGATCGTGTCACCTGCTTCCCAGGGCACAGACCCAGGCAGTCTGCGAGTGGCTGAGCTGGGGGGGTCGGTCCCTGCTGGCCCCAGTTTCCATTGTTTGTACTGGAGACGCTGCATTGTTGCTATGTAAATAGCCCCTGGGGCCGCGAGCCACCAGCTGGGCGCGGAGACACCCCGGGGAAGCCGGGCTGCTGCAGGGAGCGGGGCAGTCCGTGGGACTCAGTCTGGGGGGGGCATGCTGCAGGGAGCGGGGGGGGGGTTGAGGGGCTCGGTGCGGGGGGCGTGCTGCAAGGAGTGGGGGGGTTGAGAGGGTCGGTGGGGGGGCATGCTGCAGGGAGTGGGGGGTTGGGGGACTCGGTGGGGGGGCGTGCTGCAGGGAGTGGGGGGGTTGAGAGGGTCGGTGGGGGGCATGCTGCAGGGAGTGGGGGGGTTGGGGGACTCGGTGGGGGGGCATGCTGCAGGGAGTGGGGGGGTTGGGGGATCGGTGGGGGGCATGCTGCAGGGAGTGGGGGGTTGGGGGACTCGGTGGGGGCGTGCTGCAGGGAGTGGGGGGAGCCGTGCTGCAGGGAGTGTGTGTGTGGGGGGGGAGCCATGCTGCGGGGAGTGTGTGTGGCACTCGGTGTGGGGGGGGAGTCATGCTACAGTGGGGGGTTTGAGGGGCTCTGTGGGGGGGACCATGCTGCAGGGAGTGGGGGGATTGAGGGGCTCAGTGGGGGGGCGTGCTGTGGGGAGTTGGGGGACTCGGTGTGGGGGGGGAGCCATGCTACAGGGAGTGGGGGAGTTGAGGGGCTCGGTTGGGGGGCGTGCTACAGGGAGTGGGAGGGTTGAGGGGCTCAGTGGGGGGGCATGCGACAGGGAGTGGGGGGCCTGGCGGGCAGGCTCTCCTCATGGCAGACCCCCCTGAACTCACACCTGGGGCTGCGTGTATGTCAGGCCAGGAATCACCTCAGTTAATTCTCTTTGGCCTCCCAAACGCCTCCCCCGCGCCCCGCTCCGCTGGAGACAGGATTTTCCTTCCCATCCTGTTCTACTGTGCTGCCGTGGGGCGGCCCCAGCCCAGAGCTGGCTGCATCACCGGGGGAGTGTCCCATGGCTGGGCCAGCTGCTTGGGGGTTACTCAGCAGAGCCGCGAGGCTGCTGGGGCCTTCCCCTTGGAGACGTCTGAGACACAGAGCCAGCAGCTCAGGTTTGCCGCGGACTCTGAGCCTGGCCTCAGCCCATGGCAGGCGGCCAGGTTATGCCACCTGCCGCAGCCCCCCCTGCAACTCACCTCACCCCACCATGGCCCCCTGCAACCTGCCCCCCCCACCCTACAACCTGCCTCTTGCCACAGACACCCCGATCCACATACCCCTCCAATCTGGGCACCAAATCAAAGGAAACGACAGGGTGACTCATTCACACATTCCAGCCCCCACCACAGCTCGGGAATGGGCCGGGCAGCCTGGCAGAGAGCACGCCCCCCCCACCCCCAGCTCTGCCGGTGCCCCTCAAGCCTGACCCGCAGCCCCCCGCTAGCCCCGCCCTGCCCCCAGCTCTGCCGGTGCCCCTCAATCATGACCTGCAGCCCCCTGCTAGCCCAGCCTTCCCCCCCCAGCTCTGCTGGTGCCCCTCAATCCTGGTCTGTCTCTTCTACTCTGTGACCTTCTGTCCCCTGATTCTGTTGGCCTGACTCAAGTTGGCTCAAATTGACACCGGTCCCTGGCTGGTACGTCGTCCCTTCCCTAAACATTGCTGAGAAGCAGGAGAACCCAGCTCCCATTTGGCCTGGAACTGCCATGTGTCTGGCAGCCGCCCCCCCTGCCAGCGGTCCTGGCCGCAGGCCCCTCCCTGCACCCCCAGCTGCGCGGGATCCAGGCGCCCCGGCTTCAGCACCCGGCAGACAGCCACCGCCTGGAGTCGTGAGCTGCACATCCCAGTCCCAGGCCAGGTAAGCCCCATGCCCCCTCCCTCGCTGCCTTGGCCTATCGTGCCCCCCACCCTTGCCCATGTGCCCCTGCCCCTCCCCATGCCATGCACCACCCCAGCCCTGGCCCATGCGCCAGCCCAGCCCATGCGCCAGCCCAGCCCATGCAACCCCTGCCCTGCTCTATGCATCCCCCACCGCCCCAGCCCGTGCGCCCTGCTCCCCAGCATGTCCCCCCGCAAAGGGGAGGAGGCTGCGTGATCTGTTCATGCCAATGGGCCGTGTGTGAAAGGACCTGGATGGGAGGCTGGGTCCCGGCGTGGGTGCAGCCCGGGGCAGGTGCTGCAACCAGCCGCTCGCCCGGCCCCGCATGAGCTCATGGCTGCGGAGCTCCATTACCCATTACCGCGGCCTGCAGCCATTAGCACTAATGGGCTCCGTGTGGGGCGGCTCTGCCGGGAAACGCCGCCAGCTGGAGCCTGGGCACGGCAGGGCCGGGCGCCACCTCGCCCCACGCGCGGCAACAGCTGGGCAGGTCCAAGAGGCTCCTGCCCCACACCCCACAGCGCCCCCTGCTGGCTGGGGCCGGGCTGGTGCGAGCGCTCCCTGCAGCGTGGGAGGGGTCACGGTGCTGGGCTGCAGCTCTGGGCCTGGGCTGGGAACTGGGGACACCGGGGTCCCCCCAGGTCCTGATTCCACCCACCTCACTACTAGCCACTCCCTCTCCCCTGCCCGCTTTGCCCCCAGCCTAGCCCATCCCACCCAGTGTCCCTGGCTCACTCTGCATGCCAGGAACCCCCATGGGACTCGATTCCTGGGTGCTCAGTGGTTTTCCACAGACATGTCGGGGGGTTGGGGGGGGGACCTGTTACCTCCCCCCGCCTCCCCCATGACCCCCTCCCTTCCCCTGCCCTCCCCACCCCCACCCCCCGTAGTCCCCTGTTTCCCCTGTAACTCCTCCTTCCCCATCTCCCGCTCAGGTCCCCTCCCACAGCTGTCCCTGGCACCCTCCCCCTTCCCATCAGCCAACACCAAGGCCAAGACCCCCCAAGGCATCGAGGTTGGCCCAGGCCAGAGAGATGCGACTGTGCAGGGCTCACCCGCACCCACCAGGGGGCGCTGTGGGATGAGGGCAGTAGTGCTGGCTGTGGGGATGGACATCCATGAGCCCCCCCACCCCCCAGGCACCTCCAAAGCCTTGGCTGGGGGCGGGCAGCAAGTCGATCCCCCATTGCACATGTTAAGGCCATTGCAGCTGGCCCTGTCAGAGGCAGGATACCGGGTTAGATGGGCCCATTCCTGGGTCATTATGTACCCAGCACTCCAGCGGCTGGCGCTGGTCCCTGGCTTCACCGAGCCACGGCCCCTCAGCCCAGGAACCTGCCGGTCAGCTGCACCCATATGACGCTGATAACCCACAAGGGGCCATGGTGTCCCGGCTACCAGGCATCCCCCTGCCCCACCTGCCAGGTACTGGGCTCAGCCTGTGCCCCATGGCATTGCCCTCCAGGGGCTTAACCTGGGTCTGCAGACTGGCAAGTGTAGACGGAACCCACTCCCGAGTCACAACGGCTCTCCATCCCAGAATGCACTGCTCCCCCTTCCAGTGCTTCTCTGCCGCCTGCTGATGCATGATGGGAGAGCAGCCTGGATTTTCCCACAATGCACTTGGCCAAATGTGAGTCAGGGCGGAGGCGTAAGGACGGCGTGGGCACCACTCCTGCCCAGAGATGGTGCTCGCTCACCGAGGGGTGTGCCCTAAGCCCCGCGCCTGCTCAGCACAGGGGTCTTGGGCCCGGACATGGGCGCCTGCCCTGCCGTGGGTGGGGCCCCGCTGGGGCAGGACTCACATGGCTGCCAGCATGGCGCTGGCCCCGCTGCCCCCTTCTCCAACTCCCACCTGCTGCCATGCCAGACACCAGTGGAAGGGGTGGCCAGGGGACGGGAGACCCTGCTGGGGCTGTTCAGCAGAGCAACGGGCTGCCGATCATGGCCCCGCACAGGGGGTCACTGGGGGGGCAACACAGCCTGGAAACCGAACGCTAACCCCATTCACAGCCAGCCAGCCCGGTCTGACCCCATCCCCAGCCAGCCCTGACTACCCCCATCCCCGTCCCCAGCCAGCCCCGTCTGTCCCCGTCCCCGTCCCCAGCCAGCCCCGTCTGACCCTGTCCCCAGCCAGCCCTGACTACCCCCATCCCCGTCCCCAGCCAGCCCCGTCTGTCCCCGTCCCCAGATAACCCTGTCTGTCCCCATCCCTGTCCCCAGCCAGCCCTGTCTGTCCCCGTCCCCAGCCAGCCCCGTCTGTCCCCATCCCCGTCCCCAGCCAGCCCGGTCTGACCCTGTCCCCAGCCAGCCCTGACTACCCCCATCCCCGTCCCCAGCCAGCCCCATCTGTCCCCGTCCCCGTCCCCAGCCAGCCCGGTCTGACCCTGTCCCCAGCCAGCCCCGTCTGTCCCCATCCCCGTCCCCAGCCAGCCCCGTCTGTCCCCGTCCCCGTCCCCAGCCAGCCCCGTCTGTCCCTGTCCCCGTCCCCAGCCAGCCCGGTCTGTCCCTGTCCCCAGCCAGCCCTGACTACCCCCATCCCCGTCCCCAGCCAGCCCCGTCTGACCCCGTCCCCAGCCAGCCCTGACTACCCCTGTCCCCGTCCCCAGCCAGCCCCGTCTGACCCTGTCCCCAGCCAGCCCTGACTACCCCCATCCCCATCCCCAGCCAGCCCCATCTGTCCCCGTCCCCGTCCCCAGCCAGCCCCGTCTGTCCCTGTCCCCAGCCAGCCCTGACTACCCCCATCCCCGTCCCCGGCCAGCCCCGTCTGTCCCCATCCCCAGCCAGCCCCGTCTGTCCCCGTCCCCAGCCAGCCCGGTCTGTCCCCATCCCCGTCCCCAGCCAGCCCGGTCTGACCCTGTCCCCAGCCAGCCCCGTCTGTCCCCATCCCCGTCCCCAGCCAGCCCCGTCTGTCCCCATCCCTGTCCCCAGCCAGCCCCGTCTGACCCTGTCCCCAGCCAGCCCTGACTACCCCCATCCCCGTCCCCAGCCAGCCCCGTCTGACCCTGTCCCCAGCCAGCCCTGACTACCCCCATCCCTAGCCAGCCCCGTCTGACCCTGTCCCCAGCCAGCCCCGTCTGTCCCCATCCCCGTCCCCAGCCAGCCCCGTCTGACCCTGTCCCCAGCCAGCCCTGACTACCCCCATCCCCGTCCCCAGCCAGCCCCGTCTGTCCCCATCCCCATCCCCAGCCAGCCCCGTCTGACCCTGTCCCCAGCCAGCCCTGACTACCCCCATCCCCGTCCCCAGCCAGCCCCGTCTGTCCCCATCCCCGTCCCCAGCCAGCCCCGTCTGACCCTGTCCCCAGCCAGCCCTGACTACCCCCCTCCCCGTCCCCAGCCAGCCCCGTCTGTCCCCATCCCCGTCCCCAGCCAGCCCCGTCTGACCCTGTCCCGAGCCAGCCCTGACTACCCCCATCCCCGTCCCCAGCCAGCCCCGTCTGTCCCAGTCCCCAGATAACCCTGTCTGTCCCCATCCCTGTCCCCAGCCAGCCCTGACTACCCCCATCCCCGTCCCCAGCCAGCCCCGTCTGTCCCCATCCCCGTCCCCAGCCAGCCCCGTCTGACCCTGTCCCCAGCCAGCCCCGTCTGTCCCTGTCCCCAGCCAGCCCTGACTACCCCCATCCCCGTCCCCGGCCAGCCCCGTCTGTCCCCATCCCCAGCCAGCCCCGTCTGTCCCCGTCCCCAGCCAGCCCGGTCTGTCCCCATCCCCGTCCCCAGCCAGCCCGGTCTGACCCTGTCCCCAGCCAGCCCCGTCTGTCCCCATCCCCGTCCCCAGCCAGCCCCGTCTGTCCCCATCCCTGTCCCCAGCCAGCCCCGTCTGACCCTGTCCCCAGCCAGCCCTGACTACCCCCATCCCCGTCCCCAGCCAGCCCCGTCTGACCCTGTCCCCAGCCAGCCCTGACTACCCCCATCCCCGTCCCCAGCCAGCCCCGTCTGTCCCCATCCCCATCCCCAGCCAGCCCCGTCTGACCCTGTCCCCAGCCAGCCCTGACTACCCCCATCCCCGTCCCCAGCCAGCCCCGTCTGTCCCCATCCCCGTCCCCAGCCAGCCCCGTCTGACCCTGTCCCCAGCCAGCCCTGACTACCCCCCTCCCCGTCCCCAGCCAGCCCCGTCTGTCCCCATCCCCGTCCCCAGCCAGCCCCGTCTGACCCTGTCCCGAGCCAGCCCTGACTACCCCCATCCCCGTCCCCAGCCAGCCCCGTCTGTCCCAGTCCCCAGATAACCCTGTCTGTCCCCATCCCTGTCCCCAGCCAGCCCTGACTACCCCCATCCCCGTCCCCAGCCAGCCCCGTCTGTCCCCATCCCCGTCCCCAGCCAGCCCCGTCTGACCCTGTCCCCAGCCAGCCCCGTCTGTCCCCGTCCCCAGCCAGCCCCGTCTGTCCCCACCGCCGTCCCCAGCCAGCCCTGTCTGTCCCCGTCCCCAGCCAGCCCCATCTATCCCCATCACCAGATAACCGCATCTATTTCTGTCCCCAGCCAGCCCCATCTAAACCCATTCCCTGCCAGCCCCGTCTATCCCCGTCCCCAGATAACCTTGTCTATCCCCTTCCCCAGCCAGCACTGTCTGTCCCCATCCCCATCTAACCCCGTCTGTCCCCGTCCTCAGACAACCTGTGTATTCCCATCCCCAGCCAGCCCCATCTATTCCCATCCCCAGCCAGCCCCGTCTGTCCCCGTCCCCAACCAGCCCCATCTAACCCCATCCCCAGCCTGCCCCAACTATCCCCGTCCTGAGCCAGCCCCGTCTATCCTCGTCCCCAGCCAGCCCCATCAGTCCCCATTCCCAGCCAGCCCCATCTAACCCTGTCCTCTGCCATCCCCATCTGTCCCTGTCCCCAGCCAGCCCCATCTAGCCCCTTACCCCACCCCCCAGCTACTGCTTGATCTGTCACCTTAACCTTTGTCTGTCTCTCTCCTCCCCTTTGCTAAGGTATTCTCAAGAGCTGGTAGACCTCTTGGTGTGTGCCGGGTGCTGGGCTGTGCCGGGGCAGTGGGGCTGGGCATAGGGCCGGAGAGATACCAGGACGGTGGGGCTGGGCTGGGCCTGTTGACAGTCACCATGTTGCTCTCAGAGCCGCTTTCCTCACCAGGCCAATGCAGTGACTCCACGGGCAGTGGGGGGCTCTCCGGGTCAGTGCCTGGATCCCTGGGCCAGCAGGATGGGGGAGCCACTGGGCTCTTCCCAGGCGGAGATGAGAGCTTGGGGCCGTGGCAGCCCCCAGTGGTTTCAATTCTCCAGCTCTGAGGCACCAGGGACCTGTGATCCATGGAGCTTGTCAGCGCCCAGGGACCTGTCCCGGCTGGAGCTGTTCAGATCTCACTGGGCTGGGGGTAAACAGCGACTGGCAGGAACTGATGCCACCCACAGGCCTCATGCAGAGTCTCCTTCCCTCCCTGGCCTAGAGGTCGTTCAGCTGAAAGGTCTCGGGACTCTTTAAAGGGGGTCTGGGACTCAGGACTCCTGGGTTCTATCCCCAGGTCTGGGAGAGGAGTGTGAACAGGCCGAGCCATTGGGTGACTTTCCCCTGGAGCACATCATCCCTGCAGTGTTTTGTAACCCGTCTGGGGTGATGACACAGCAGGGGCTGCTGGCCCCAGGCACTGTCCTTGGCATCTAATGGCCACAGTGCCCCACGGGGAACAGGGCTGTGTGGCTCCAGGCACTGAGCTCCAGAGCACCCGAGCTCCGAGCAGCCCTGATACCCAGGGGATGGGCGAGGCAGGAGGCTCCAGCCAGAGCAGAGAAATGGTCCATCTCAGCCGGGATTGAAGGACAGCGTTCCTTAGGGAATAGAGCCCTAGGACTCAGGACACCTGGGTTCTGTTCCTGACTGCCCATGGGCAAGTCCTTTCCCCTTGCTCAGTGTGCCTGCCCAGCCCCCCCGCCCCCCGGGTAGGAATGTGTCGCCTCCCTGCGTCTGTGGGCTTGTGAGCTCGGTTCCATCGGCCCAAGGGGCCCATCTGCCCTGGTATCCCTCCACCCTGCAGAGCCCGCAGCCCCAGTGGGTAGCATGCTGCATACAATGTGCCTGCTAGGATCCTCCATGGACTGGGGCAGGATGGGCACCAGACAGGTTCCAGTGGCATGGGGCAGGGTGCCATAGGGGACACACCCCATAGGCCGGGTGGCATGGGGCAGGGTGGCACACGGGACACACATGTCATAGGCAGAAGCAGTGTCATGGGGCAGGGTGGCACAGGACACACATCGTAGGCAGGCGCAGGGTGGCATGGGACAAGGTGCCATAGGAGATATGCCCTAGGCAGGGTGGCATGGGGCAGGGTGGCACATGGGATGTGGCATGGGCAGGGTGCTATGGGGCAGGGTGAAATGGCAGTTATGCCCTAGGCAGAGTGCCATGGGGCAGGATAGCACAGGAGATATGCCCTAGGCAGGATGGCATGAGGCTGAGTGCCATAGGGGACACACCCTGCAGGCAGGAGCAGGGTGCCATAGGGGACGTGGACGGGACAGGGTGGGACAGGGTGGGACAGGACAGCATGGGGGCATAGGGGACATACCCTGTAGGCTGGGCCAGGGTGGCATGGGGCAGGGTGGCACAGGACCCACCCCATAGGCAGGGGCAGGGTGACGCATCCCTTACACAGGGTGGCTCGTGCCCGGAACATGGAACAAGCCAGAGGGTGTCAGCTGGCTCCATTGCCGGGAGCTGGGCGCCCCCCGTCCAGCCCAGCACCACCGGGCCGCTTGGCAGCTGGGGTCACCCCCTCTCTGGGAGCTGTGGGGCGGGAGCCCGCGCGCTGAGCTGGGCACGGGGGGGGTGGGTGCGCCCCCTGGCGGCGGCCCGGCGCTCCCCCCCCCCCCCCGCGGACGGAGCGGGGCCGGGCGCAGGGGGGCGCTCGGGGGCGCAGCGCTCCGGTCCCTACGCACGGCCGGCCGGGGAGGCAGAGCGCAGCACGGCGGGACCCTGGGGCTGGGACTCGCCCCACCGGGGAAGGCGGCTGCCGAGGCGCGGGGCGGGGGGGTCTCCGAGCGGGTCCCGAGCCCTGCGCCCCCCGACGGGGCGTCGATCCCTCGGCCAGGGCGGCTCCGTCTCTGCCCCGTTCGCAGCCGGGACGGGGCGCGGGGGGCCCGGACGTGCGGTCCCTTGGGGGCGAGCCATCCGGCCGCTTGGGAGTGGGGCGCGGGGTGCCTCTGAGCACGGTAAGGGGGCGCGGGCCCCACGGCAGCACCGCGGGGCCGTCTCGGGGGTGGGGGGGTAGCTGGGGGGGGGTCCGGACTGCTGGCCCCGGAATGGGGGGCCTGATGGGGGGGTGAATGAAACAGAATCGCCCCCCCCCCCGTACCGACCGGGACTGGTGCTGAGCTCCGATCTGCTCTTTGCAGGGGGGAAAGGGGGCTGGGTGCCAGGGCCCCGGTTCATTCCCCTGCTCGGGGGGGGGGGGGGTCTAGAGCGAGGGAAGGGGGGTTTCTAGGAGTCTGGGTTCTCCTCTCTCTGCTCCCCCAAGAGTCACCCCTGGGCTCTCTGCAGCCCAGCGACCCAGTGCCAGGGGGTGTCTCCCGTGGGGCCACACGGGGTTCCCCGGGGGGTTCGTTCCCCGGGCTCAGGGGAGGCAGTGGCAAGAGGGGCCAGTCCTGCTCCTTGGTGCCAGTCCACAGGGGCACCCTGGGCTCCAGCAGCGCTGCCCTGCCTGACCGGGGGCCAGTCGCCCTGCCAGCCCTGGGTTCAAATGTCCTGAAAGTTGGGGGACCCCCACAGAGCCAGGAAACGTGCCCCGATTCCCCCATTTCCTCTCCCGCCCCAGCTCCAAACTGGCCACCCCAGCAGGCCTGGGGGCGGGGGTAAATGAGAGCCCACAGCTCCCTCTGGAACCAGCAGAGGGTGCCTCCCCCAGTGCGGGGCGGGAGAGGGGACCGTGGGGTTCAGCCCCCAGCGTGTGGGGGCATTGCCGGGGCCTAGTGGCAGTGGCTCTCCCCTGATTCCCATCTCTCTCCACCCTCCCACAGATGCCCATGGCTGGTGCCAGCTGCAGACACTGCTGAGAGGATGTTCACCAGCCACCCGCCCAACACCTCCCTGCTGGGGGCGCCCTGCAGCCCCGGGGCACCCCTCCCCATGCCTGTTGGCGGCTTGCGGCTGGGGAACTCCTCGGGGGGCCAGGGGGGCCCGGGGGGGCCCTCCCCAGCCATGCCCATCTTCTCCATGATGCTGGGCGCTGTCTCCAACATGGTGGCCCTGGCCATCCTGGCACAGTCCTACGCCCGCTTCCGGCGCCGCTCCAAGGCCACCTTCCTGCTCTTTGCCAGCAGCCTGGTCATCACAGACTTCGCCGGGCACGTCATCCCGGGCGCCTTCGTGCTGCGGCTCTACGCCACCCGGCTGAAATGGGATGCCATGGATAGCACCGGCGCCATGTGCCAGTTCTTTGGCGCCTGCATGGTCTTCTTCGGCCTGTGCCCGCTCTTCCTGGGCTGCGTCATGGCAGTGGAGCGCTGCGTGGGGGTGAGGCGCCCGCTGCTCCATGCCTCGCTGGTCACCTCTGTCCGGACCAAACTCACCCTGCTGGGCCTCTGGGGCTCCGCCCTGGGCATCGCCCTGCTGCCCATCTTCAGCTTCGGGAGCTACACCATCCAGTACCCGGGCACCTGGTGCTTCATCAAGGTGCAGCCAGCGGAGAGCTGGCGTGAGGTGACCTTTGCCTTGCTCTTCTCCCTGCTGGGCCTGGCCTCCCTGCTGGTCGCCCTGGTCTGCAACACCCTGAGCGGGGTCACCCTGGTGCGGGCGCGGCTGCGGACCCAGCGCAAATGCGGGCAGCGGCGTGCCAAGGCCCATGACATCGAGATGGTGGTGCAGCTGGTGGGCATCATGGTCGTCTCCTGCATCTGCTGGAGCCCTATCCTGGTGAGTGAGGGGGTAGGGTGGGGGCCATGGAATACAATGGGGTCCCCCCCAGTGCCATGGGATGTAGTGGGAGGGTTGCCCCAGGAGTGCAAGGTTGGAGGGATTTCCCTGGGGGTCAGGGTGCAAGGGGGTTCCCCATGGGTGTAGGGTGGGCTCCTTGGGGGTCAGGGTGAAGGGGGGATTCCCATGAGCGCAGGGTTGGGGGTTCTCTCTGCAGGGACAGGGTGCAGTTTGGGGGTGTTCCCCAAGGGTGTAGGGCTTGGGGGGGGTTCCCTGGGGTGTCAGGGTAGGGGGGTTCCCTGCAGGGACAAGGTAGACTGGGGGTGTTCCCCATGGGTGCCAGGTTTACCCCATTTCAGTCCCCCCCACCCCCCGGGGGAGGATTGCCCCCTGGGCCCTGACCTCGGGGGAGGTTGGAGGCAGGAGCACGTGTATCTGCGCGGCTGATTCGGGGTGGGGGGGGGGGGTGCTAGGCTGATGCAGCAGCGCCCTCGTGTGGTTGGTGGCTGGTAACTGCACAGTCACGCTTGGCTCCAGCTGTACATGCTGCAGGGTCCCCCCCAAACTGTCTGGGGCGAGTAGATCAGGTTGGAGGTGGGTCAGGTTGGGAGGGGAGCGGGATGAGGCCGTGGGGCGGCGGGCTCAGGATGTGGGGAGGGGGCTCAGGCTGTTGAGGGGGCTCAGGTTGGGGGAGGGGGCTGTTGGGGGGAATCGGGCTGTTGGGGGGCTCAGGGTGGGAGGGGAGGGGGATGAGGCTGTTGGGGGTGACTCAGATTGAGGGTCAGTCCCAGAGATTTAGGGCCAGAGTCAAGCCCCCCCCCCCTCACCGCCGTGCCCCTCCCTCCCCTGCAGATCTTCGTGGTCCTGGCGGTGGGTGACAGGTCCGGCTCGCTGAGCTACCAGAAGCTCCTGCTGCTGGGCGTGCGCCTGGCCTCCTGGAACCAGATCCTGGACCCCTGGGTGTACATCCTGCTGCGCCGGGCCGTGCTTCGCAAGCTCTGCGGGGTGCTGTGCCGCCAGCCGCCGGGCAAGGGCAGCCGCTTCGAGCGCTGGGAGGTCAGCTCCTTCCACAGCTCCGAGCGCAGCATGGTCGGCCGCTCGTAGGCGCCCCTGTCAGCGCCTTGGCACCGGCTGGAGAGGCGCTCGGGAGGAGGCGGGGGGACGTTGGACGCTTCTGGGGCGGACGATGGTGCCACACCCACCTGGGGGGGCCCCCCCTGCTGCAGCCGTGGCAGGAGCTGAGCCAGATGGAAATCTGGGGCGGGGGCCGTTGCTGCCGGGGCCCACCCAGCTCCTGGCTCGAAGCAGGAGGCACCTTGGACATGGGGCGACAGGTTGCACAGGTGTTTGGGCATGTGCGGGGGGGGGGGCACAATGCCATGGTGAAATGCGGGAGTGGTGGTGCAGGGTGGTTTGTACTCAGAGGACCTGGCCTAGTGGTTACGCCGTCAGCCTGCGCATCAGGACACCGGGGTTCTGAGCAAACCGTGGCTTTGGGGGAGCTCAGGGCCTGGCTCTCTCCAGGGAAGCAGCATATTGAACCAGCCTGTTTAACTTTTGGGATGTGGCTGTTAGAAAACTGCCGTGCCCCACCCCAGAGGTGACTGCATGCCAGTGCCAAGCAAGGGTTTCCTGTAGAAAGAGCCCCCGCACACACCCCAGAGGTGGCTGCATCTCCATGGGGCTGTGTATACTGCACAAAGTGCCCACAGCTTGCTCTCGACCCAGGGGACAGCTTCCCCCTTGCACCAGGCCACCCTCCCTGTTCACGGGCCCCAGCTGAGCCCCCTGGCCCCAGGCTAAGCTGGAGTGGCAAGTATTTGAGGGGGGCAGGTTGGGAATAAGCCCCCACTGGACGTGGGGGTTGAGGTAAAGGTACGTGGGAGGTGCTCTGTTCCCTTCCCCAAGGGGCTGGTGCCATTCCCGGGATGGCTGGGGAGATGTCCCCCACCCCATCCCCATTCTGCCACAGGCCCCCAGCCCCACTCCCCTAGGCCTTGCTTGGGGCCAGCCACCATCTGCAGAGCTCTAGGACATGGGGGGAGCTGGACAGGGGCTGGAGGGGGGTCAGGAATGAGTCCCCAGCGGCCACCGGGAAAGCCGGGGGGTGGGGAACGCTGGCCCCAAGCGGGGCGTTCATTTCCCAGCATGCCAGGGGGCCAGCCCGCAGGGCGGCGCTGGGAGCTCTGTACAATAAAGAGCTTTTACCGATCGCTCTGGTGTCTGGGCTTTGGTTTGTGTGCGCGTCCCCATCTCCCCCATTCACAGCTGGCAGCCTGAATCCCCACCCCCATCCCTGCCGGGGAGGGGCCCCCACCCGAGGGGAGAGGGGAGCCCCACCTCCGCCGCCGCCCCCGCAGAGCTAGAGGCCCAGCAAACTCAGCCCATGCTGCAGCCTCCAACCAGCTCAGTAGATGGCGTCCCAGCTGCCCCTCCCAGCCGGCCAGCCCCTGCCCCGGGGGCTGGATCAGAGCCGGCGCCCCCTAGAGGGGAAAGGCCCCGTGTCCCGTTCCCTGCCCGGCCCTTTCCCATGACAGTCACACTCCCCCCGCCGTCACGGCGCCTGACTCAGGCAGAGCCCCCAGCTGACACAGCCCCCACAATCCAGATCTTTACTAGTGTCCAGCCTTTACAGACCCCGCTGGGCACACACATGCGGCTAGCTCCGGCAGGGGGGGGATCTGGGACGTCCCACATCCTCTTGCCCCAACCCAGGGCCCTGCGGCCCTTGTGATTGGTGCCAGCTCTGGGGCGGCTGGGGGAGGGGGCGGAGGCGCTGGGTGGGGGTCTGGGTGCCATCAGCGGGAGGATGGTGCCCAGGTGCCAGAGCGATCCAGGGTCCAGATCCTCTTGCTTCCTGCCGGTGTCAGAGCCATCGGCCAGGGGTGGGGCCCAGGGGGAGTCACGCTCTTCCCTCCCCGCACTCCCGGGCCACTGATCCGAAAGGCAAAACGACAAAGCTGACGCTAAGAAGGCACCAACCTGGCTGGGGGCGGGGCAGGGCGGGCGCACTCAGTGTTACAGCCCGCAGGATACGTCCAGGCCTGGGGGCAGCTGCTGGCAGGAGGAGCCCCATGGCTGGCCAGAGCTGTAATCCTGAGCGGGAGGCTGCAGTGAGGGACACAGAGGTGGGGGGGGGAGGGTCTTTCTCCAAAGTCACGGGAGTCCGCAGGACGCTGGGGTCCCGTGATCTGAGGGCGGGCTGGGACACCTGGGTTTGTTACCACACAAAAGAACACAACCAAGAGCAACGGGGGCATGCGGGGAATCGCAGCTGGCAGGGGAGCGGGTCTGCCTGGTGCAAAGGGGGGGGTGGGGCTTTCCAGTTGGAAAGGCGGAGCTCTCTGGAGCGAGGGGCGGGGCTCTTTGATGCAGGGGGCGGGCCTGTCTGGTTGGGAAGGCGGAGCTTTCTGGTGCAAGGGGCAAAGCCGAGGCTTTGGTATAAGATGCCCTGGTGCACAGGGCGGGGCTGTCTGGCACAAGGGGCGGAGCTGATGCTTTGGTGCAGGGGGCGGGGCCAGTGATCCCGCCCATCAGTTGTAGAGGTCGTCGTCCCCCTCCTCCTGGAAGAGGCTGCCCCGGCTGTTGTCGCCCTCCCGGGAGCCACCTGCGCCGTCGGCGCCCCCGTCCCTGCTCTGCTTCCCAGCTGGGAACCTGTGGGGAGAGAGCGGGGCTGGGTCAGTGGGATGGGGGAAGGGAGCCCTGCCCTTGGCACAGGCAGGCAGAGGCATCGTCTGGCACAACCATCAGCCCTCGGGTCCCCTTGTGCTGGCCACGGGCAGGCCATTCTTCCCGGGGTTGAGCGTGACACCGGGGAGGGGGAGGGGGGCTAGTGGGGCAGGGGGAGAGCGGGCAGAGGATCCAGGGGCTGAGGGTGACAGCAAGGCCAATGGGCTGAGACTAAGGCTGGGGCAGTCCTGGGGAGGGCGCAGATCCCAGAGATGAGGGCAGGGCTGGAGGGATCCCAGGGGGGTGAGGGCAGGTAGGTGGATTGTAAGAGCTGAGGACAGACAAGGGGGAAAATCCTAGGGGGCCGAGGGCAGGGCTGGGGGGATGGCTGGGGATCCCAGGGGGCTGAGAGCAGGGCTGGGGGGAAATCCCAGGGGGCTGAGGGCAGGGCTGGGGGGAAATCCCAGAGAGCTGAAGGGATCCCAGGGGGCTGAGGGCAGGGCTGGCGGGAAATCCCAGGGAGCTGAGGGCAGGGCTGGGGGGATCCCAGGGAGCTGAAGGGATCCCAGGGAGCTGAGGGCAGGGCTGGGGGGAAATCCCAGAGAGCTGAAGGGATCCCAGGGGGCTGAAGGGATCCCAGGGAGCTGAGGGCAGGGCTGGGGGGATCCCAGGGAGCTGAAGGGATCCCAGGGGGCTGAGGGCAGGGCTGGGGGGAAATCCCAGGGGGCTGAGGGCAGGGCTGGGGGGAAATCCCAGAGAGCTGAAGGGATCCCAGGGGGCTGAGGGCAGGGCTGGGGGGATCCCAGGGAGCTGAAGGGATCCCAGGGGGCTGAGGGCAGGGCTGGGGGGAAATCCCAGGGAGCTGAAGGGATCCCAGGGGGCTGAGGGCAGGGCTGAAGGGATCCCAGGGGGCTGAGGGCAGGGCTGGGGGGATCCCAGGGAGCTGAAGGGATCCCAGGGAGCTGAGGGCAGGGCTGGGGGGATCCCAGGGAGCTGAAGGGATCCCAGGGGGCTGGGGATCCCAGGGAGCTGAAGGGATCCCAGGGGGCTGAGGGCAGGGCTGGGGGGATCCCAGGGAGCTGAAGGGATCCCAGGGGGCTGAGGGCAGGGCTGGGGGGAAATCCCAGGGAGCTGAGGGCAGGGCTGGGGGGATCCCAGGGAGCTGAAGGGATCCCAGGGGGCTGAGGGCAGGGCTGGCAGGGTCCTGGGGCCGAGAACGACGCCAGGGGATCTGCTCCCTACCTGAAGTTGCCGAAGCCGCGGCTCTGCTGCAGTGTCTGGGCGAACATCTCGTACTTGCGGATGTCGTTGTCACTGACGGAGCGGCGGGCGAAGCGCATGGCCTCCTCAAAATGATCCCGACGGATCTCGGGCACCGGGTCGTAGTCGTCCTCCTGCCCAGGGGAAGGGGGGCCGGGGGGGGGGAGGGGGACGGATGACATGGTCACGCCCGGTCTGGCCCTGATCAGCCAACCCCGGGCTGCTCCATCGGCAAACAAGGGCCATGTGATTGGCCTGCTCCACTCTCACCGGCCTGGTGGGGGCGCCCCAGGGGGCAGAAGCCAAGGCTCAGGGGACCCCCCCCCCCCCAGTGAGGGGGTAGCTCAGGCTGTGCAGCTGCCCCACTGTCAGGGAGCTGGGGGTTCAAGCCCCCCAGTGCCTTGCAGCAGGGAGGGGTTTGCCCCCTTGCCCTGTGAGGTCCCCCCCATACCATGACGGCATCCGGGTGGCTCTGGCGTTCCCGCTCCATCTTGATCTCCATCTCGATGGCCTCGCGGATGGCGAGCTTGCAGGCGCGCTGGCAGATCTCAGTGAGGTCAGCACCCGAAAACCCGTGGGTGATCTTGGCCAGGTAGTTCAGGTCCACATCCTGCGGGGGGAGGGAAGAGAGAGATAGTCAGGGGATGGGAGGGAAACAAAGAGCGCATTGGGGGGGTCACATTCCAGGGGGGTGGGAGAGACACAGCCAGTCAGGGGCTGGAGGGGGGCAAAGGCAGTCATTCCTGGGATGAGCATGAGGCTGATCAAAACCTTCCATCTAAACCCTTTTCAGACAATCAGGTTTTGGACAAAGCCATTTTTCCCCATCTAGAGCGTCCATTTCCCGCAGAAAAGTTGGGTTCCTCATAAAAAAAACCCAAATATTTTGATTCTGAAATGTCACCCCCTTGTTTCATGAGAGTTGTAGTCGGGTTGCATCACATCCCCATTCTCCTCTATGGACCAGGCTTCCTGGGCAGACTACATCTCCCATGATGCACCAAGGACACAGCCTCCTATGATGCACCCCCACCTCTCACCAAGTGTGGATGCCATGGTGCATCATGGGGAACGTAGTTCAGTAGTCTCACGTCCCCATTCTCTAGACCAGACTTCCTGGCCAGATGACATCTCCTATGAGGCACCACTTCCTCTTGCCAAGAAGGGAGACCATGGTGCATCATGGGACATGTAGTCTGACCAGGGAGCCCAGCCTAGAGAGGCGAAAGGATTCATGAGGCACCACGGCAGCCTTCAGAATGCAAATATTTTGGTTTTTGACTGCAATTCTTCAGTTTTCAAATTTCTGCTGGAAAAAAAGTCCCATGGAACCATTTAGATGCAAATTAAAGTTTTTTTCATGTTCTTAGAAATTGTCCATGGGGGGGGGGGCCTTGCCCCCCAGCAAATGCCACCCCTGGCTAGGACTGGAAAAGCCAGACTCTGCTCCCAGTAACACAGCAATCTGGAGCCGCCTCACTGGCCCTCACATGTTTAAACCAGACTGACACCAGCCTAACTCTGAGAAGGATTTCTCCTGTAGCCTCTGGGGGATGTATTTGTGGGTGAGCAGCTCCACTTTTGTGTGCCCATGGACACACATGGGAGCTGCCTTAGGCCAGAGACACACACACAAGGGAGCTGCTTTGGGGTGGGGATAGGCACACACACACACACACACACAATCTATCTGGGGGTCAGGCGGGGGGACAGGGAGATAGGATCTGCCTTGGGGTGGATACATACATACACCCCCCACATACACATTCTTCCCATGGGTACACACAGAGTGTGCCAACTTCCCCACAGGGTGGGTTTAGGAAGCCGCCCCAGTGTTGCTGACCCCAAGCGTGGAAACCTCACGCGTCAGGCCTGGGGGAAATATCATGAGACCAACCTTAAAAATCCCGAGATTTAAATACTGAACAATGCAAGCTGGGTTCTCTTCCTTTGCCTCCTGGGCTCACGCTTTCCAGCTCCGCTCTGCAGCCACAAGAGCTAGAAAACAATTTCTTTGCGGGCGTGAAAGCCGAGGGGCTCCCCTGTACTCCCGTGAGCTGGGGATTTAGGGAAGAAACGAGCGCAAGTCTCAGGCTCCAGTGCTGAGAGTTGGCAAAGCTGCGGCTCTACGAGACCAGAGCGCCGTGCGGCTGGGGGAGGAGGTGCTGCGAGGCCTGGCGTGCTCACTCACCCCAGCCACAGGCGACTTGCGCAGGTTGGCACTCAGGATGGCCGCCCGGGAGGTGTCGTCAGGCAGCGGGATGTAGATGAGCTGGTCCAGCCGCCCCGGGCGCAGGATGGCTGGGTCGATGATGTCTGGCCTGGGGATGGGGGGGAGGCGACAAGGAGACACAGCCTCAGCCCCTGCCCGGCACCCACCCCAGGGGGTGTCCTGGGGCACCTCCAGAGAGGGGGCAGCTCCCACATACACCCCCACCGCTGGCGTCCCTCGGCCCCGGAGCAGCCCTGGGGAGCATGGGTACTACGGCCGCGCAAAGCTTCTCCAGGGAACCTGGACTGCGAAGAAAAGGAGACAAACCCCAGGAAGCCCGTCCCCCATAAGGGACCCTCCCC